CGTAAGTATGAATAGCAGTTGAGAGACGAGAAATGCAAGCTCTCTGCGAAGGCCATAGATATCCTTGGTTATTTGTGGAAGATCACTGAGACCACATGACAATGTCCAACATGTGCATAATATTTATTATGTTTTTTTTCATTATTTTGGCTTGTAAAATGTTTCACCTGCATTCATTGTTCAATTGTGCTGAGATCTTTGTGTCTTGGGTGTTAAACACATGACGCGCCGTTTGGGTGGGTCTAAAGATTTGCTCAAGGCAATCTACCAAACGATGTTTGGTCCTTTAGTAACTTTTTTATGAGTTGAAGCCTTATAGTTTTTGAATATTTATGTATTGATGTCAGGATTGTGTAATGAAGTCAGAAGTCCCTTTCTAGTCACTAGTCTTCTGTGGAATCAGTCGATTAAACTAAACTATCATTCCCTCACCGTGAGAACTGTGCTTGATGTGACGTCGGGCGTCTTAGAGAAATAGAAAGAAAACAGAGTACTTTGTATGTTGTTGGTTTTTGTACTCTTCTGCTATATCCTATGAGTTTTTTATCTAGTAGGAAGAAAAAGAGAGGGTATTTCAGGTCAAAATCATTTCTTATTATTCTATGCATCGGAATCAAATCAGACTTTCCATTCTTTTTGGTATCACTGGACGTAATGCATCCGATGTTAAGCAGGTTGCATCACTTGAGTACAAGAGGTAGACAAGATTCTATATTGGGTTACGCGCTATCCGCACTTCATATCTCTTCATATACTTAGATATTTCATTTTAAACAGAAGCTTCCAGAGGGAATCAAGTTTTCAAGTCTGGATCTCACTAAGGTTGTGTATACTTTGGTGAATAGAATACTGACCAACTTGGTAATAGTCCATCTTAAAACCCTTGGTGTTCTGTATCTCTTAAATGCGACCTTGCGACAGTGGGTTTTGGTCTCAAGATAATGGCTCACTGTGATCATATGAAACGGTAAATTGGCTTTATTCTCTAAATAAATCAATTTGTTCTGTTGATGTTGTGAGATGTAAACACGCGTTCGGTTTTTTTACTGATTTGTGTCGAGCAACTCCCAAATATCCGATGATTTCCCTTGAAATATCAGAACCAGGTAGTAAAGTTAGTTTAACTGCATGCTCATAAAGACCTCGAACCGCTTCCTAACATTAAACAATCGTTACTGGTCTATAATAAGACTTGGTGTTTCAATTTGATCAGTCTTCGTTCCATTATAACCGATAGTTTATTTACAGAATCCCTCTAAAGCAGTACTTTTTCAGGAAACTTTAGCATAATTTAAAGGTCCTTCATAAGTTGTAGTTTCAAATAATTTCTTCCTGAAGTTCATATCATATATTATAGTTTACTTTGTGACGGGCTACCATTACCTACCCATACTGACCATACCATAAGTTCATTTAAAAGGCCAGCGATTGTGTTCTAGCCTCTGAAGGGCCAATACAAATTAGTCTCAGACTAACCAGTCACATCTAATACCTGTCATATGTCCTCAAAGACAAGTGACCCCTATAAACCTATGATATTTCAATCTGATATTGCAAATTTAATTTGGGAAGTACTCAGTCCCACATGCTGAATTTTAAATATCTAGAGAGCCAAGCATTTTCAAGTGATTCACAAAATGTTCATGTAAATTATGATCTTAAAATACCTGCAAATAGTTCTGAAATTACTGAACGCAAGGGTTCTTGTTTACCTGAGGATTGTAATGAAAACATGTGAAATTTATTCACTTCGAAAAGTTTGGTGTAGCTCTCTTGGCTGGAATGGGTTTTGACCCAAAATCTCTTGATAGCTCTAAAAGGTATTTTTTGTTTCTTAGTATATTACCTCATAGAGAGGTTTTGAAGGTTACGAGCAAATGTAGCTGTCAACTTGACAGCGATCATTTGGCAATTTTTAATATGACAGTTGTCTTAAATGAATCCCCAAAATCAATAACCTTGCTGACCGCATTAGCTTTAATGCATTTGTAGATCACCAACGTAGATGACGTATGTCGAAATGATTGGAGGCCTACTCGAGTTAGACGTGAATGGTGTGACAAACTAGCAAACGTCGAAGTCACACCTCGTGGTCAGTACCTTACGTGGACTACCCCATTGACGTATCAAGGTACTATAGATGCTTTGAAACTGTGCAACACAGAGGACGTTATTACAGAAATATATTAGTTGAAGTAGATACAAATGGAACTAAGATCACTGCCGCATGGGTCAGCTAATTTCGGCTATATCTTTTAATAATAATGAGAATAGCTCCATCGATACAATGGTATTTCCCACCTTACATAATGCCATAAATCCCCGAGCAGGATCTAAGTGTAGTTGTCAATATTTGCGTTCATTTTGATGTACTTAAGGTGCACAATCATGAATCCACACCAAATCACGAGTGAGTACGCCGTTCCTCACATCTCCTACAACGCTAGCCAGCTTAGATTGAATACCCATCGATAAATCGATATTCTGTCAAGCATATCTTCAAGCCTTCTCGTTTCTGATTTCTGAATTGACTGCACGTTCCAATCATAAAAGTTGTTACTGGTTAAGGTGTTGTCAAACTCCAGATACTTGTGGAATGTTTAGTACTGAGCACGACGTGATCTGGTACACCTATTCGTAGACTATGAGTCTGTTCCTCTATAAAACTTTAAACACATTTTCAACCCTTCAGTCATCTTATTTGTAGCTCAGTCAATGTTTCAGTTTTAACCTGTAACGGGAATGTATCATGACTACTTACAATCTTAATGGCCCCTAAATACCCTGGTGCGGCCGAGGGTGAGGAAAGCCCGCTCTCCCTCTCGAAATGCTTCTTTCCGACAATGGCCACGCATCTACTTAGAAGCTGACTTCTCCGATCACGGTGTGGCATACCCACGTGCACAGGTCCTCGCAGTGGTGGATACTCGATAAATACAGCGAAATATGCCAAACGCAAGCGCAATTGTTATGTGTAATTAACAATGTTACACACCACATCACGACTACAGAATCACCTGTATTCTCGAAAGCGCGTCGACTAGCTCCCGAAAAGCTGCGTTTGGCTAGAAACGAATTCAATCATATGATAGACTTATGGATAATTCGGCCATGAAACAGCTAATGGGCATCTCCCGTGCATATGGTCCCTAATAAAAATAACAGCGACTGGCTTCTAATTGATAACTATTGGCGGTTGAGTACAAATACCATTTCTGATCGTTAACCATGGTTTCACATTCACGATTTGACAGCTACCTTGTAAGGTAAGGAAAATCGACTTGGTTAAATCATATAACCGGATTCCCATGGCTGCTGACGACATGGTTAAAACAGCTATGATCACACCTTTCGATCTCTACGATTTTTTGCGCATGCCTTTCGAGTTCAGAAATGCCGCACAATCTTTCCAAAAATTCATCGATGACGATTTTTCGGGCTTCAAGACCATGCAAGTCCACAAAGGGAATTTTATTTCCAGCATCTTGGCGTGGTCTTCGAATGACTGTAGAAGCACGGCATTAATGTAAACATCCAGAAATGTCAAATCGGCACCGACTCTCTAGATTTGCTACGACGAGTATTGATGTTCAAGGTATTCTACCTCTTGAAAGCAAAGCGGCTGTCATTCTGTTTACTGAGGACCGACATGCTGTATTCTGAAGATTTTTTTGAAATTGTTTATTTTGAGTCCCGTTTACGTAAATCAACCATTCCGTACCAGACTTACAGTATCATTAGCTACTTTTTAATGTCGTAACTTGGTCGTAAAGTGAACAAATTTTTCATCATAAAGATAGTAATCAAACTGCATACCTTAGTTTCATCAAGATATGCGTTACCTATTTTTGAATTTCATTTAGGTTTAGGAACTGAATTTTTTCTGCAACAATGTTTTTGTGACACGGTGTTCGAAATAAGCAGTCTTTGTGGTTCAGGTTCTCATAGAAATTCCCGTCGATGTGCTGGTGATTATCTAGGCTTATCTGTAAACTTCAATACAGCTTGAATAAATTGCTGTAATTCGTAATGTGTAGTGGTTCAATAGTTCAAATCATTGGTGTGAAAGGTGGTTGTCAAGAGTAGAAGAAACTCATTTTATAAAAGGGAAAAACGTCAGCGTGTGATATGATATGGATCCTAGCATTCTGCACCAAACCTTTCAAACTGAAATTGAATGTCTGGGGCTCATCGAATGATTGTGGACGGATATGAGCTCTTACCTAGCTAGCAAGCTTAGTAAGATACCTAAAGTACAAATTAGTTTGTGATGGGCTTTGATATTTCGAAAGTTTATTTTCTTCCGTACATTTTTTCCATTTACATTTTCTGCTATTTGAGTGATAAAACCATGTAAATTTTTTTGAACGACTTTAAGAGCTTTTTAAATTCATTGAAATCAATATTGGTGCATACATCTTTAATGATGTAAAATTACCGAATAGAATTTAAAGTCACACAGGACTTTATGTAGTTTCATTTTTCTGGTAATATGTATGAACAAAAAAGTAGAATAAAGCATATATAACGTACTTTTTCGATATAATGCTTATATAAACAGCAATTCTTGAACTTCTGTCGTGAAGAGCCTTTTTATGGCTTTGTGAAACAAATAACTGTAGCGTTTGTTTATATGCTTCATATTAGAGCGAGAGATCATAAGGTTTGTTATCCACTGGCTTTAATTGTGCGCGCTGTTAGGTTTTACAGTTGGTTTTTCATGGATAGTAGATAGTTCGTTACTCACTTTTAATGTATCCTTCGCGAATTTCTGTAAGTCTCGTCTTCCAATTCATTTTTATTATGCCTGGAGTCTTCTTCTAATGCACGGGCATACTAACTTCTTTCTTTTATCCTTTTCTTGTATTTTATTCATCAGTATAGATGTCATTGCTTATATTCTTGCTTTTTCTACTGTTGCGTTTTTTATTCACTATGATCGATGTATGACATTATTTGAATTAGTGAACAGTAATCTCAGACATTAAGTCTATGTTTACATGTTATTTCCTCAGATGGAGATTGCGAAACGGCTGAATGCTATCCTAGTGCAAGTCATCCCATTCCTATCTCAAGAGGTTTGTTTTGTTCTCTATTCAGCTACAACTTTAGCATCAATCTCAGGTTGCTGCAGCAGTGGACCGCGCAAAGCAAGTTACTTTGTCGGAACTTAGTAGCATCATAGGGGTATGTTCATAGCAAATCTCTTAACCATATTAAGTACCAACACTTTGCTGATCACTACACCTATTATAATTGCTATCTTAAACGAAGGTGCGGAGGTAACATACCTAAAACTACTCACAAAACGGCTATATGTGACCGGTATCAACACAGTTTTTCTTTTGGAGTTGTGATCACGCTACTAGTTACATTACAAAAAACTAACTTTTAGTCCACTGAATTTTTCCCTCGTAGGGATGTGTTTCGTTGATTTTTAATGTTATACTGTCAGTGGCTAAATAGATAATGATCCCCATCAGGTATTTAGTTATGCTTAATATTTGGCCATGTCTTGAGATTCATTTAATTGTATGTCGATATTGGTTGTAACTCATTTGCTTGTAGTGTAGTGCTTCGATCAACAACTCCAGTTATGCTGAGAATCTAAATAGTAACATATTGATTTATATTGCAAGTATTTGTAGTGGACCTAACAAGATACTCACTGGCGTCTTTCCATTTCATCTAATCTTATTGTTTGGGAAACTTCGGTTTTTTACTATTACTTTAAGAATTTATTACATCATCTAAATATGTGTTGGTTAACACGATTTCATGTGCCATTGAAAAGTGATTATTGCATTTTCTTGTAACTAAATATGATGAGCTTGAATCTGAGTTTAGCATTAAGTTGATTGAAGGAATCTGAAGCTATTGTTTAGAAGTTCCTAACAGTTTTAATGGGACTTATTTGAAATCATCCACCACTCCCAGTAGATCTTACGTTTTAGTGATTTTTCTTGGTGGACAATTTTGTTTTACTTACACTCATACCGACCTGTTATTGTAATGGGGTCGTTAATAATAATTTTCACATCGTATTTAGACTTGGTGGCTATGTTGTCATTCGAGTAATTGGATTGGAGAACAACCTCTACATGCACATCTGTTTAAATGTTATTTTGCATGAGTCATCACAGCTCTAGTCTATGTCCCGCTAACAAAGGTGAAACAACCTATTTTTAATTTATGTTAAATTTCCTTAAAGGATGATCATATTTGTCAGTTATTTGGTCTAGGACAAACTATGTAAAGATATCTCACTCTTCATGAATTCAAGACAAGAAACAGGCTTCTTAATTGTAAATCTAATATCCATGATTGTTTTTGAATATTGTTTTGTATACTCAGTGATCAATATACGTATTTACGCTACGTGTAATATATTTCTCAAATGTAATTACTTTGGTAAGTAATAAACCTGGAGTTTTGTGTAATATAGGAGTTATTTTATGATTAAAAGTTTCGAAAGAAGCAGTCACGGTACTTCAACATACTGTCCGTTTGGTTCCTTTGAAATAGTTTCCCTGCTGTGTAGTTCTGTCCATATTGTAACTGAATGTACCAGTTTCAGTTTGGGAAGGACAGGACGCTAGGTGGCTTATGTTGGTCCTGAAAATGGTGGTCTCTCAGTTGATCTTTTGCGAGCGGCGACAGATGGTGCTTTAATTCCGTGTTAAAATGATAAATCCCATTCGTTGATGGTTCGATGAGAAAGTCGATAGTCTGTTGACAAGTATTTCGTTATGGGCTTGTGGACTTTTTAGAGTATCCTCTTAAATTCGCCATTTTGGAAGACAAGAAAAGTAAGGGCTTATCAGGTGCGAATTTATTACTAATTAATTTAAAAGCTGTGATAAAGTCGCCCCTGTGTTGGCCAACGGGTTCTATAACTTGACGGCTATGTCACGGCAGTGTGCAACAGTTTTTAAGTCTTGGCTAACGATAACTCTTAAGTTTGTGTGTCTGGATGACAGGTAATTCACTGCCATCCACCGTCCATGTATCTGAACCTTGATGACCAATATGCATCAGAATTCACTTGAGAGCATTTACCGTCAACTGCAAAATTCTGGACCATTCAGACAATTTCTCTGGGTTATTTTGAAGTTCTAACCTATCACTTTTCATGGCTCTCCATATCCTGACATTATCAGCATACAACAAAACCGATGATGATAGGAGACTAGGAAAGTCGTCTACATGCAGGTTAAATATCACTGGCCTTAAAGCTGTACCTCTGGGCATACTGCAAAGCACAGTTTTCCAGCTAGGCAACCTTGAGTTCACCCATAATGTTTGACGCCCAACTAGCGTCAGCATTGTATTGTAGGTTCTTAGGGTATTTCATGTAACTAGCTTAAATACTTTGAGCCCTGGTATTACTGCCAAGAGTAGGGAGAGTCCGCTCTCTCTCGAAATACTCTCACGTGGCCACGCGTATATAGCCTCTGCCAGGGACTTCCTACTCACTGCCTTCTCGTGGAGGGGAACTTGTTTACGAAATTGAGAGGGCGGAAAGAAAATATCTGGCTTATTAACCGGGTTGATGGACATGGAGAGTTCACCTCGGGGAGTTGGAAAACCCTGATTCCAAACCAATGGTGCACATGGGCTCCAGTATCCTGAGGGAACGAATGCCATATGAACCAATTATTGGTCACTGGTTACGATAGGACTGCATCTCTTTACGTTGCTCCACGGCCTTGTGGATCAGACTTCCAAGTCGAAGGCTCGGGGTGTGGCTTCCTAAGAAAACCACCTGCTTCGGTTTGGGCATCAGGGCAGTATCACAGGAGATTTGTGTGGTGCATATGTATTTGGTGCCCCCTTGTACCAATATCTATGTGTTCAAATAAATAAGAAGTAAAATAGTTCGGACTTTTACAAAACCGAATTGGTTTATATACATAAAGTATTTTTTTCGAAATGCCGTTAGACAATGACAGTTTTTAAATCCAAAGATTACGGGACCGTTTTTTTACCTCGATACAAACATATGTGTCAGTTCGGGTTAAAGTCCATCTCAATGAGTTGAAAAAAGGTCCACATTTTCTGTAGGTGCTCCGAATTCTTACTAATGTTTTTACTTTTAGCGTTTTGAAGTAATACGGTAGATCATTACGATAATTTATTCTACCTACGTCACCATAAACTGTTTCTGTGAAGAATTTGTACATTTAAATCATTTAGTTATGGTGAAACCAAATACTAGTAACCTGCGAATATCCTCTACTCTTACCGGCCATATTTCACCGCCATAAAGTAGGACGGAACGAACTGCTGCGCGGTAAACCCGTCCTTTGGTTGATAGACGGATATCTCGCGTACGCCATAAATGACGCAAGTTGGTAAAAGCCAGTCGAGCCTTCTGTATCCGTGCTGAGATTTCGTCACACACCAGACCACAAGGGTTGATGAGACTTCCAAAATAAGTGAAGCGATCGACACGTTCAATTACTTTACTCCCTATCATTAGTTCGGGTGTCAATGCAACCCAAATCTGAAGCGACATTTCGAGGGGGAGAATCGCATCCCGAACATGCGTGCATTGTTGCTTAGAGTGGTCAGAAGACTCTGCATTCTGTCAGCGTCTTCACCAAATAAAACTATGTCATCAGTATATTCTAAGTCAACAAGTGAACCTCCCGGTAGAAGTTCAACCCCTGGAAATTTAGATGAGGAGAGTGTTGTCTCTAAAAGTACATCAATGACAAAGTTGAATAAAAATGGAGAGAGTGGGCAGCCCTGACGAACACCACTTGAGGTAATCAATTCTGATGACAGTTCGCCATAAGCTCTCACTCGACCAGTTGTGTTCGAGTAGAGAGCCTTTGTAAGGTTAATGTACTTTGGTAGTGCTTTCAGTGACAAACACTGCCATAGAACCTTACGATCAACAGAGTCAAATGCCGCTTTAAAGTCGAGAAATACTACCATTGTGAGGCGTCTGAGCGTGTGTCTGTGTTCTAGAACCTGACGTAGTGTGAATATCTGATCTATACAACCACGTCCAGGTCGAAAACCAGCCTGATTTTCTCTAGTCTGCTCTTCACGAGCTTTAGTTAGGCGTCGAAGTATTATTGAAGCTAATATTTTAGACACTATATTTGTCAAACTGATTCCTCTGTGATTGTCACAAGAGGACTTTTGTCCTTTCTTATAGACTGGCACAATCAGTGATTGAGACCAGTCAGATGGGATTACGTCCAGTTCCCAAATTCTACCTAAGACCTCAGTTAATCTCATTGCTAATACTGGACCACCATCCTTAAAAATCTCAGGAGCGAACCTGTCAGGGCCTGCTGCTCTCCCTCGCTTCAGATTTCCGATAGCTTTTTCAACTTCATAAAGAGTCGGAGGACCTACATTAACTTGCCATTCAGGTTGACTGGAGATCGTGGGAAACCGAAGTCTGGAATGAGTTTCCGAGCATCTATCAGTGCGATAGATGCTGCTGAGATCCAGTGTTGCTCCCTAACCTTACGGGTTACCGTACTAGCAGATATCACTGCCGTTTCCACAGCTTTTCGGATATCATTCCATGCTTCCTCAGGGTGGGTATCACCTCTATGGCTGCATAAATGTTTCCCTAGTTGTTCCTGAAATATACTCTTAGCTTGACTATCATTAAGTAGGACCCTAAGAGGTTTCCTTGCAGCGTCTTTCCTACGTCCAGTAAGACGCAGACAGATACGCGCTCGTACTAGAGCATGATCTGAATCTAAGCATGTGCTCCAGAACAAGCGACAGTCTTCTATCGAGCCCCTCCAGCGGTGGCTGATAGCGACGTGATCTATTTGGGTCCAATGTTGGGACGAATTAGGAGGTTTCCATGTTAAAAGATGTTTTTCCTTATGCTTAAAGTTAGTATTTGCAAGAAAGAGGCGGTTATCTGAGCATAGCTGCAACAGACGGTCGCCATTATCTGTTCTTTGAGCCACGATGCTATAAGATCCACCCAGGTGTCTTTCTCTATCGCTTAGTTTACCTACTTGAGCATTAAAGTCACCGGCCATTATTACTACGTCCCAGCGCCTAGCTTTTAGGAGGAGGTCGGAAAGCTTTCTGTAAAACTCATCTTTTACATCATCTGCGCTGCAGTCAGTGGGAGAATAGGCAGAGACGACGAGTGTCCCTATCTTTTCATATCCTTACTGTTCCGTTCAGTCGAACAGCGCACAAACGACTGTCTACTGGGATCCACTCTAAGAGAGCTAGTTCTGCCCTAGGACTCAATGCTATACCTACGCCGGCGAAGCCACGGGAAGCAGAATCAGTGCTTCCAGATACACGAAGTGTGAATCGAGTAGGTACTTTGTTTTGGCATGGTGAGGTCAGATAAATGACGCTACTCGGATCCTGTATGCGCGTTTCGGAGACGCAGCACACATCGATGGCGCGGGATTCTAAAGTCTTAGGTAAGGAAGCCTGTTGTCCTATTTGGCACAGTGTTCGGACGTTGAATGTTCATACGTGTAGTTTAGAGTGTGGTTTCAGGAGACCAGAAATAACCTTCCGCGTACTCGAATCGTTTGCCCTAGCGGTGCGAGATGATAAATAGACGTGAGGACGGTTAGCCATGGAGATAAGAGAGGTATTAGGAGGTGTAGGAAGGATTTGAATGTGACCAACTTGGTCTCGTATGCTGTTACGGGTATGAGGGCTGATGTCACTTTCCGGCTGCCCACACCCTGGAAGGGTATTTCTTGAGGAACCTGAAAAGGAAATTGGATTAATGTTGGTATTGAAGACCTGAGAGCGTGACCGTAGAGCCCAAGGGACAACTGCTTGAGGCCGGTCGCGCACGGTCTTTTCGTGGGAGTTTTTGATGTGTTAGCTCCGTTGTTCAAAGGGCCTTACCGCCGGAGACGGAAATCCGTGGGGTAAGGTGAGGTGTGACATTTTTAGGATCGACCTTTTCTAACCCCACCCCTCCTTGTGGGAAGGCAGCATCGCTGCAGATGCTAGTTGTCCGAGGGAAACACCTTACTGCTGTCACACCTCTCTACAGTCAGCAGTACGACTTCGCCCTCAGACCTTGAGTTGCTGCTTTTAGTTTTACCGTTCTCCAATCGACCTGTCTGGCATGGTAGAACCTACAGGAACGTATGTTCCAGCCAATATAGCTCGGTTGGGTCATCACGATAGGCAAGCCCGACCACCGCGTCAAGGTAGCAGCTCCGGTCGGGTTACTTAAGAGCAGTCGAACATTTTACGCTAAAACCCTTGCGAAACATTTAATTAGTCTCTTCAGTCGCTTTTTGTATCTATTGATTTAAACAGTCTGTGATCGGTAATTAGTTGTGTGTTTTCAATAAAGATAGTTTTATGAACTTTGGTCTAAAAATGACTTCTGTGTAGGTTTTTGATAAACTCTACTTTCAAGCACCAGTCAGAACACGCATGCTAAAGTCATTCCAATTAACTACAAATTTTAATCGGCGTTCTCTTCATAGTTTGAATATTTTTGAATCAAAAACACAAGCCTTGAGATACAAAATGTCAGTTATTTTTTCTTCGTTAAATTATTAGAAACTTTCTGGTTTTTTATGCAGTAACGAAATAAAAATGTATTTTTAATGTCCCTATTATTAGAAAATTGAATTTTCGGTGTTTCGCCGCGTAGTGCAAGTTGTCCCTTCTGAGACAGAAAATTTTCTCTCTTTGAGAGGTGTAGACTGAATCAACGATTTTACTGACAGTTCTGTACAACGGAAGAGCAAACAAATTTCATTAAGGTGCCCTATCTTTTTCTTGTGATTTGATTGCTTGCTTCCGTATTGTATACTAATTTGAGAGGAGGTTTTGGTCTTGAAAAGTAAAGCGATGCCTAGCTTTTGCCTAATCCATTGGTTATTATTGAAATGCTTGAAGTGTAGCTCCTATACGTCTATACATTATTTTCGAAATTTAAAAATTGTATTACGCGGAAAATTCTGTTGATTTCTATACTTATATTTATATTATTTATACTCCTAATTATTTCTCAAACTACCTTTCCCTTTGTGCCATAGACTATGCAACAGCAGCAATTACTGATGAATTCTGGATCTGGAGGACTAAATAGTGGGTTCCCACACAGTCTCATTCCACCGTCGTTAGGGCAGTTACCATCCGATAATCCCGTTCTACCCATAAGCGGCTCCAGGGGAGGAGCTCAATCCACTCCATCTTTAACTAGCCTAAGTGGGCTCAATGCACCTCCATGCACTGGAATTAACAGTTTGAATAGTGGACTCCCAGCTCTAAATAACAATACTGCTAATAATTTGCTTTTACCTCCCAATCCATTTCTACCACAAATGACCAGTTCAGTTACGCCCCCAACTACAAATACTAATCCTGTTGGGAATCCTAGCATTTCTGGTGTTCAGTCATCCCTTTCTGGTATCCCAGGTCCTAATAATCCGGCTTTCTTTTCTGGTCTTGCCCAATCTCACCCGGCAGTTGCAGCAGCAATGGCTGCAGTAGCTGCTGCAGGATTCCCTCCTGGTAGTACGAATGCTACTATGAATCAGTTATCCAGTGGCTTACTTAGCAACAATAGTCATCCTTATTCTCAAATCCCTGCTCATATTAATAATATACCAACTTCATTTCCTCCTGGAACTAGCAATAATCTAGTGGGTGCTTCATTGCCATCATCTATATCCTCTAATGCATCTTTGGCGACCTCATCTTATCATGGTCCTTCTGCTTCTGGGGCGCATACACCGTTCTCACCCACCTCTACTTCTCTTTCTAACCCGAATGCTCCAAGACCATTAATGTTCCCAATGGATGGAGTGACTGGTCAACCACCGTTTCCCCCAATGATATCTCCAGCTGCACTATCTGCCATTATTAGTGACAAGAATTTAGATGAAAAACAAGTAAGTCTGGTTAAGGACTTTTAAACAACTTGTTTTCTCTTTTCAGTTTTCAGTTACGAATTCCTGGCATTCTAATTATTTGTCTTACATCCAAAGTGCATTTGTATATTATTTGTATTTTTCATTTCGTTACCACTATGCAGCACATCTTAGGTTTATTTTGACTCCTACCTCATTTATTCATCGTCTACTCACTCAACCTCTTTTCAAACCTGTATGTTCGGGAAATCCTCCAGCTTTTTTCTTAGTATGATCACTCGAATCTGGATCCCAGTTGTTTATACCCTGCTCCTACTATCCAAGCCTGAAATACTTGGTAAATCCCTCATTCTTAAAATAGCTTATTTCTCAGTTTGGTGCACAAAGTGTAACATCATCATCAAGGTTATTTTCGCCAATAACTCTAGATGCTTCAGTGGTATTTTCGATGTTTTATCTTAATGAGTATATCGTAATCATCAAAGTAACTTTTTGGTAGTCATTTGAATTCGGTAAATACCATCTTTAGACACAAGTACAGATCATTGATACCAAGTAAATTTTACGAACAGGTAGACATTCTTTCCGTAACGGATCTTTAGAATGGATAACTCCCTTCAGTTTAGTTCAAAGATGAAAATTCAGTGGTTCGTTTAAGAATAAATTAAAAAAGCATCCAGTCAAGTATTGAATAAATTTTGATCCCATGGTCATCTTGGATGACTTCGAGTCTGTTTTAAAAACGACAGAGGTCTTTACAAAGCTTACGGAAAAGACAGATGAGTCGCCGATGCTTCTGTCAAGTTAATTGATGTTTAGAACAATAAAATCAAAATATGAATTGAACACTGAAACACGACGTTTACACAATAATAGTAAACTGCAGTGAGCTACGAGTGAAAAGCTGACAGATAAACCAGTGACAACAGATGATGGTATACAGTTTTTAGGTTTGTCAAAAGGGATGGGGCCATAAAGTCATCAGCTAGGTGATCTATCTCTGAAAAAGGTAGAATGTTGATCTACTTTCGAATCGGGTAATCAGAATGAATGGATAAAACATCTTGACACATAGTACAGCCACTTTTATTGTTATAAACATTTTATGAACAATCTGAATAGGAGATTAACATCAATTTTAATGTCATTTCATGTAACTGATCTCAGTCGTTGCTGCCTTAATTAACTAGAAAGTTTTTTTTAAAAACAACAGAAATCAGCTTATTTAACTTTGTTTCTAGTCTGGTAGTTTCCATGATATAATATTTAGCAAGAAATTTGGGGAAACCATGTAAGTTTCACGTCTTTTCATTAGTGTATCCAACAAGATGTTTTAGATCATTTGTCATAACTGAACAGCATCCTAAATAAACACATCACTCTGTTTTTAATTTTTAACCCAAATAATCTGTTGAATTGGGACTTAAAGCCAGTCAACATTTAAATTGATGGCATCAAATTATATCCTTCAGTGGGTGGGACACAAGTACTTGATCATACGTAGCTTCGAATAACTTTCCACATTTACTGAAGTCACCTACTTAGTATTACTAGATTCACGCTCAGAGTACTAGGTTAATGTAGTTAACTGTTGGATAAAGTTGTAAACTTAATTGGTCTAAACCTGTATTATTCGGGCTCTTACCCGTTAATAAAGGTGCGAAATTCCCGGTTATAGTCTGGGAGATAATCTACGTCTGGAAGTCTCCACTGATACTACTCGATTGGTTTCGTTTTTAACTCCCTCTAAGTGTTTCCATTCCTTTCATCCTATTATTTTGAGCACTTTTATTGTCGCAGGCATTAGATCGTTGCCTTCATATGTTTGCGTTTTCTAATGTTGTGGCAGTTGATATACTACAGAATAAACCCCCGTAATGTTTATTACAAAGTTATTTTGCAATTCAGTTATGTTAGGAATAGTCTCTAACTATATTGAGAGTAAGGAAGTTACTTACTAATGATATTGAATGATCGTTGCTAACTGATTGAATTTGACAATGTACACTGTTCCATATGACTCTATGGGTTTGTACTACTTAGATGTCCCGAACTAGGTATGTGCACCTTTCGCTTTCAACTATTCTTTAGTTAAAATTAGTCCGAGGCAAAAACTTACTTCAGAATGGACAATCTCCACAAACCCCTATACTTTCTTTATCTCTCTGTACTCTACTCCATATGTATAGAACTGATTTTCAGGCATACAATATATATGATTTTTATTATAACCCACTTTCAATTATCACGATATATAGTTGTTAAACATGTTTATGTTTAATGCTTTGTTGATTGTCATCGATGTTTGTGTGCTTGTTTGTTTGTACGTGTTCGTTCATTTGTGTAGTTGTGTACGTCTATAATGCTATACAGATATTTCTGTGTGTGACTACCTAGAACAACATGTAAAATTGTATGTTAATCAGAAGTTCACATATGTATGTTATTAATATATGCACACAAAAACCTAACAACTGTTGACAATACTTTATAGATAATAGGGCGTTTGTTCTCTCAAGTGTTGTGTGTATACTATTCATTTGATACACTTTTTCTTCACTTAATATGAGAACTAAGGAACTTACACAATGCATTTAGGATGTGATAATATGATTTTATCCAAAGAATTATCCATTTGGACATATCTCGTTTTCCTCTCTTTATGTTGTTGTATTTGCATTGAACTATATATCGCTTATTGACTTTAAACTATTCAGCATTTCTAAAGTATGAAAAAGTTCCTTTTTCATAATTAATATGCTGCTATTGTATCTTATCCTAGTCAGTGAAATCTTTATTTTTCGGTTTGAAATTCAACGTTAATTATTATGCTGGTAGATATCATTAAACAGAGGTAGATAATTAATGTTATTTGAGCTTCTTTTCAATTTTTATTTTGCGGTTTAATTAACTCCAAATGCCAATTTGGGAATCGCTTCGTTTGACATCCTATCGTTTTTTTTTATGATTTCACATGGACGTTAGCGAATTTATTAAAGTCTGAGTAATTAAATTCTTTTTTCTTTGTAATTCTACTACTGTTTGTGTTCATGATGACTATCAGTAATATGTAGCAGTTGGAAAAAAACATGTTATAAATCCATAGTAGAAATTCGGTTATACAGTCTAAAAGCTATGTAGTTTTTTATGAATGCAATCGTAAAACATTAACTAATTAATAGTCAATGTAATGGTGATATATATCAGTTCAAGCTGTCACAACAGTTGTGGAGTTCTAGTAAGCCGTACAATAATAAGTAAACAGAATTGCAACAAAACAAGGAGGGTTAAAACCATATCCTAGCGGGTTGAAGAGCTAACACACCTACTTACGTTGACATATATTTCTATTGACGGAAGAACTGTCAGTTTATGTGTACAACTGAGTATTTTTGTAACAACCTCTTCTATAATAGGTAGACACCATACGCTTTCAGGGTGTGTGTGACTATCTAATTGATGACCGTCATTATTCTCCTTACTATTTTTATTGACTTTTTCAGTAACCAATTTTTTTCCTTTTTGTATTACCACTCACTCACACACTTAATTCTGTTTGTTTTCTATATGAAAACTCTCTCCTCTTGAGAAAGACAAAAAATTATCGCTCCATTGGCACATATATGCAAAAATAATCTTAAACATCCATAATCCTATTTGTTTGGGGTGTGTGTAATATAATCATAATAATATAACCTATGTAAGGATTTTATATACAATAAACATCATGTTTTATATGTCATATAGACCAGTGTATGTAACCACCACCCTTGTTATAATAACCTTAACAGTGTTGGGGTGGTTATTACAGTGAAAATATATACTTCACGTTCTACATTATATTCATCTCTGTTTGCAATGCATTTACTATATGAGCCTCCGGTATTTTCTCCGTCTGAGCCTCCAAGCCTATTACGCCTGTCTATACTGCTATCGTTTCTTTTGTCTTTGTATTTATTTTGAATGTTAGACAAACAGACACGTTTGATGTGTTAATTGGCCTGTCATTTTGTCGCTCTCTCTCACCATCGTGGCTGTGAACGTGCTTTTCCGAGGCATGAAGTAAATGTTTGTAATTTGCAACAAAAACACCTGTTGTCATTTTACTGCTAGCTATCCTAGACGTTGTCAAACAAACCTATTATTAAATTCATTTTGTATTGTTTGTTCGAATCATTCTATTGATGTTTAGAACTGCAATTGATCAGTCTCTTATTGGTGTATGTGCATCATGTACGGATTGCCTCGATATTGCCTTCAATCACAAGCATTATAAACAAAGATGGATGGTGGTTAGCAGTGAAACCCAGGACCGATTGTTTGCAGTCCTAAATATCAATAGGAAGATTCAAACAAACAATACAAAATGGATTTAAACTTCATCTCATTGCACAAGTCTGTGGCTATCAGGACTTATTACCTAAGTGGATAGCTCGACAGCGATCGAAGCGAACGGTACTGAGTTTGAATCCCGGAGTAGACAACAACTAGTATGCAGGTACATCCATCTAACGAGTCCTAAATACGACAGAAAGCGCGTCCTTGATTCCACTGCTAATCGCCATCTATCTTTGCTCATAAACATATTGTCTGTGATTATCAACTACTAAACTGTTCCTTTGTATCCCAACATATATAGCTAAATATAAATTAGGGTCAAACTCATGGCGAAGGCGAGATATCCGTCTATCAATTAAGGGACGAGTATACTGCGTGGCAGTTCGTTCTGTTCTATTTTACGGCTGCGAAACGTGGCCATTGAGAGTAGAAGATACACGTAAGTTACTAGTGTTTGACCACAGATGCCTTAGAAATATTGCTCGCATTTGTTGGGACTACCGGATAAGTAATAGTGAGGTTAGACGCAGATATTAGGTATTGGAGGTAAATCAGTTGATGAGGTTGTGAATCATCATCTACTGAGATGGTTTTGCCACGTGTTACGTATGCCTGAACACCGATTACCATGACGCTCAATGCAGACTAGTATTGGGGATGGCTAGAAGAAAGTCAGAGCCCACCAAACAAAACGTGGTATCAGTGCTTGAAGTCATTAACTTCTGGTCTGAGTCATGTTTGTAGATGCAGACCACTTGGTTGGGGTCCGCGTGACTATCGTAACCAATGGTTAGAGACTGGGTGACATGGCTCAAAATCGATCACAATGGCGTCGGTGTATACACTCTGTCTTCCTTTAAACTATGAGATTAAAATTGCTTTATATCTTTCTTTCTACGAACTAATTCTTTCTTACTGTACTATATCCTTATATGCAATATTTCTTTTATACATTACCACCACTGAATTAACTACTTCTATGAATTCGGTGTTCACCTTGTTGTGCTAATGAGGTGTGACAACTTGGACCGATGCACATACATGCATAGTCCAACGTTGTAGCTGACTGATTGACAAACTTATTATAATGAAAATTGCAATCAAACTTATCTTCATTTCACTGAATCACGGTTTATTACAAAAAATGTATGTAGAATCTTATTAACAATCAGTTTCAAATCATTGGGTTCAGAATCCCATATTGTACTATATGTATGGTGTTAAATAAAGCCTTTATTATTGTTTACTCTTAAGCAAACATTTGTTGTGCATAATCTGAATCTACTAAGTTTCACACGTAACCCAACGAGTACAATGGTAACATACCTGACGACAGGCAGTTTTTGTGTTAGTGGGTGCTTTTGGGATATCACACATACAGTGCGAATTGTTAACAAGAAATATTACTTTAGAATTCTACAATCTGATTTAACTACTCTATACGACCGTGAACACATGATCAATCCCTGTTCATATATAAGAAATCAACTCAGTTATAAAGCCTGTTCATCAATCACCGAATCAATATACGAACAATTTAAATGTATTCACAGATAGACAAATTGCCTTAGAAAAATATGTGTAAGTGTGGTTTCAGTTTGAGTGAATTATTCACGCTTACACTTCTTACTGGTCATGTGACCTTGTCTCATTAAGTAACTTGATTTCTTGCCCAGTAGATTAGCTCCAAAATGCATATTTCTTATAATTGTTCAAGAGTATAAATAGTTGGAGTAATAACATATTTCTGGATTTTCTTTTACTATCGTTAGATGACCAATAATAATTCAATGTTCACGTTAAGTTCTCATCAGCAGTTATCTTGCTATTTGAGCTTGGCAAATTTTCTAATAGCATTCCGACTAATAAGTCATGTGAAAATTGTTCACAGACGAGGTTATATATATATATATATATATATATATATATATATGTAATTTACTGACCATCAAATAGTTCTTGTTGTTTCGTAAGCACCAGGACACATCTGTAGGATTTTGCATTCACCATTAGTCAGTTGACATTTGGATTAAATCGATAATTTGTCAAAGCAATATTTTGAGTAATTAGTTTCACGTTTCTTTACTAAGATTCGTTTTTCATGATCAGTCAGATTTTCATTTGTTTTGGTATGTTAGCTTTCCGTAATCTATGGTAAGATGTAGCTGTGTGTTCTGTGTTTATGAAGATAAAAACGAAATCCTTTTTTAATTTGTTATCAATAGTTCTGCCTAACGCGCCCAAACTTTCTAGATGGTATGGCAGTGACACAAAGTTTTTTTCAAGCTTTAACATATACGTCCCGGTTTATTTTTTCATTATAATTTCATCCTCTTCGTACCTTTCGTAATGTGCATTTAGCATCACTGATTTTCAATAGATTTCAACTGTCCAACGATCTGAGACCTTAGCTCATTCGATTTTATACATACTTTTCACCATTCCAATGGTAACAATCTTTTCGGTTACGTTGAGAGCTTGTAGCTTTCACATCTGTGTTTGGGTGTGGTTATAATCCACCCTCACCAAGTTTCACACGCTTCTTATTTCCGATACATTTTGATGTCTGACTTCACTCTCCCAACCTCTTTCTATCTCTATTTGACCAGCTTTCTTATGGGATGGGGAGAGGATCACGGTATGTTCCTGTCATGGGGTGGTGAGAATGAGACATACCATGATTATTAGGGTGATAGAATGCCTATCCGCGTGCCGTCGAGGCCATTCAACTATCTATTGTATAGTGGGGTGGTGATAAAATGAATATTAAGGTAATAGTGTGATGGTGGTGGTAGGTTTGAACGACCACAAATTAATTCACTCTCTATGAGCCTCTTATTAAAATGGAAGGCTTATCGAGAGCTTTTATATGCTATTTGTGTCATAAGGAGGGATAGACAGACAACAACTATGATGCTGAATGTTAGTTTTTTTTGTTTGCTACATCATACATTGTATGTCTGGGACGGCAGGCCGTATTTATATATGTTGTGATTATTGTTTTTTCTTCGTTGATGATACGCAAAACGTAACAGTAAAAAATTTAAGTTATTGAAACAATTAATGTTCACTGGAGAAGAAGTGTTTGTCTTGTCCTAGTAGTTTATATTTTGCACTACTACTTTGGGTGCAATTCATGGATACATGTGTTTGAATACGGGTTTAAATTACAGAGACCTGTGTAGATGGGTGCATTCGGCAAGCCATGATTATAATTTCCAGTCGTATTAGTTGTATCGTAATAAAATTTTACATTACAGTTTCATCCAACATGTGTAATGGATTTCCTCTGCTATGGCCCTGATCTAAAAATTTGAAATTATTCAAAACAGTTGTGGGTATTTTCTTTTAGTGGTGTATATGTTTTGATCTAGCCATTCTAGAGTTCTTCACTTTCTATTCTCGCTAGCTTTTCAAAATGAATGATGATTAGATTTTATGTATCACACATTCTGTCATCTACTGTTTGCGTAACTTGGATAACTATGCATAATACTAATGATTCAATATACTTGTATGGGAATTTTAACTCTATGATAGGTCTAATCTGTTTCTTGTCTCACTATCACTGATATTTATTGTTTTTTATTCGTGTGGTCGTGTTACTTTCTCTTCTCTTTGTGTACTGTTAGACTTACATTATAGATTTAAGTTTGTATCGGTTAGCCGATTTCTTTATGAATAGCTAAATTGATAAGATATGAAAGAGTAATCATCTTATCACCACTTATCAATTCATGTTTGTGCCTAGTCATCAATTCACTAGTTGATTAAATTGTAAACTTGTCCTATTTAGTGTGTTACGCGTATTCTATGCCATCTTTTATTTTAAATTTCAATGTTGACCTAATTTAAGGTGGAAATATTCTTGTAGCTAAACCAAATTATTCCACTTTTCCATGATCGTTTTGGTCTAATTTGTTTGGTTTTACCGCATAAAGATTCTGAAAAATGGAAAATTAATGGTTAATGACTTTTCATACTATACCGATCATGGTTACGGAGATGGATGCCTTCAAGTATTAAAAATCTGATTTTATTCTCTATTCACCATAATTTGATGGTTTTTGTATTTATACTCAAATTCGTGTTTTTAATACGTTTTACATTAGTTTTTAGGCAAAAATTTGATATTTTCACGCATGGTTACTTGTTTCTGTCTGCCATCGACTTGTTAAACATAACTAATTTTTCTCCTGAAGTATAAACGTTTCATTGTTCTTTTCAGAGAACAGCAGCTGCCGCGGCAATGGCTGCAGCGATGGCCGCAGCTGCCGCCGCTTCACAAGGTGCCCCACCAGGAGCTTTTGGTCTACCGTTGAACTTCGGGTCTAATAGTCTATCAGGGTCTTCACCAATGGATGCGCATAATTTAATGGCTACGATGGCTAGTTTTGCTGCTGCCCAGTCTGTTGCAGCAGTAGGCATGAATCCAGATTTGCATGATGGACTTAATTCAAGCCTTCCTTTATCGTCTGGACTTTTCGGTGGTTTACATCCAGATATATCTGGTTTTGGTTCAAATAATCTATTACCTCCATCATCATCGTCTATATCATCAACATTTCCTAACCCAGGTTCTGTTTTACCACCATCAAAAAGTTCAACACCTGTACCCAGTGTTAATTCTTGTCCAAGTCGCCAACGTACGAATTCTCGATCTCCAGGTTTGCTTGATGTACATTCAAATGCACCGCCAGATGAGAAACGTCGTAAAACTGAAAGAGTAAGTTTGTTTCCTTTAACCTGTCAACATTTTGGTTAGTAATAACTTTTTTTAGCATAGTGATACTGTACTACGTGTTTTGTATTCTATCTTATTTATTATAGTAAATCTTCCATAGATTTATCCATTTCTTATTGACAGTAATTTATGCATCTCTTTTTTAAGCGTTAATTAATTAGACTTTTTACTGTAGTTATTAATTTCCAGTTTGGCACTTGATGATGTTTATGAGTTACAGGGAGTTCTTAACGTGTAAAATTTTACCGATCACATAATAATACATTATGTAATCTGTTAATATTTTGCTTAATGGTAAAGCTCAGGTAAAGATAATATATGTAAATATGACTGTTGAACGCATGTATTTCTACTGGTAGACTCAAGTTTTTGACAAAGTAATGAAAATGCTTACTTTTGGAACATATAAATTCTTGTGTTCAATTTTGTCGAAATGTCATTTTGACAACTATGGAACTACCATAGTATATTTTTTGTTTTTCAATATTCTTGAACTTGAAAACCCTTTCTGGAAACCTTACAAGTACGGTAAAGAAATCTGTTCTTTAGGTTTTTTGTCTGTCACTATTATCTACATAAAAAACCAATTCACGTTTGTATCATAGCATGTGTTATATATACACTGACGTAGTAATACACATGTGTTAATACTTTGCCTATTTATATTATTTGATAATCTGCAGTTTTGAAGTATCTGTTTTGATGTAAATCACATATATATAAACAGTAAGTACTATGTTCATTTTCAATTCTGTCGTTAGCCCACCTCCGGAGACAAATGTAACGCGGTTGGTAATAGTTCTTTGGAAGAAAACGGATTGGTGAGTAATTACTATTGTATCATCCGTATAAAATATAGATAACTGGCTAGTAGCTCTATTGTGAATACACGAAGTTGGGTGGTATGCTAAATGATATATATATATATATATATATATATATATATAATAGTGATTTCATTGAGTAACTTACGATCAAGTCCCAAACGTGTAGGATGAACGACATTGGAATTGTGCATAGATCTTATTGACTAATAAACATTTACTAATACTTAGTTTTTGTAGTTAAATTTTCCCTGCTGGATTCCCTAAATGGCTTTCAAACTTAATAATTCAACTTTTACATATTTCACATTACGAACTCATTTTTGTTAAATGACTGTTTGAAACCTGGATGCACTGCACAGTTTACTCATCCTAGCATGCGATTCCTCAGTGATGCACATGCACACGACTACCAAAGATCGAACCAATTTTAGGTGTCATGTCATTTAAGAACAATTCAGTGACTTCATTCAGAGTTCTAACCATCACAATAAAATCATTTTTATATTTTACTACTGGTCCACTTAGAATTTATAAAAGTTAGTATTCAAAAGCATATTGCATGTTATGTCTTTCGAAGCTGATAGAATAACTCAGGTTTATGTAAAATATGTGGTCAAATGTTCACTATTTATGCATTTACGTTCAATCATTATGATGACTTTTCCTCTGATTAGTTGTAGTTGTATATTGACTAAATTAGCAACATTTTTTTATAAATCGTAAATTCTTACTACTTCTGCTATTATAAATATTCATTATCATTTATTATTTTTCTACACAGGTTCGTGTTAAAAGCTCAAATTCTTCCGGTCGACGTACTCCATCAACAAAGCATAATGGTAATAATAGTAGCAGTAATGGTGGACCGAATTCTTCTGTTTACAAAAACCATTCTTCTGGTAACGGTATAACTCTATCACATCCTGAGAGTAATAATCACAATCATAATACCACCACGAATAACAATACACAACGAGATCATTCAGTTGAATTAGATCATAAAGAATTTGATGAAAATCCACCGCCACTTTTGAGTGGTGGTTCTGGTAGTGGTACACCAAGTTGTACTACATCACCACAAAATCAACAATCGCATACAACTTGCACTGATCCCCCACCTCCTCCTGCTCCTCCTTCGACTGGGACATTTCATAATAAACAACATACTACTACATCCAATGTTAAATCATCGTTATCACCTGTAGTTGCTAGCACTACAAACGTATCGAATTCATGCAGAATAGGTTCAATTTCATCTTTGGCAGGAGGTAAGATGATAATGATGCTGATCGACCATCAGATGGTTCTATGATTAGTTCATTTAATATTTTGTGCTTTTTATGTGTGCATGAGGAGATTGCAAATATTTTTTTTCGGTTCTATCGTAAAAATAAATTAACCACATAAACATCACGTTCAACTTATACTATTCCCTTAGTATGTAAAATCGTTGGAAACCACTATATATATATAAGCTCCAACTGTCGCGAGAACTGAAAACAAGCTCTCTAACATAAAAATTATTGAGACTAATAGCAATTTATGTAGTCAATCTATCCGCATCTTTTTTCTTTGTTTTTCTATATCTCTTTTTGGTCCTACCCACACCCAATAATATGTACATACATGAATTTATGTATGAAAAAGATAATGTATATCTTTTGTTTGCTTGTGTGTGTCAACTCACATATACACACCTATACGAATGTTTGTTCGCTTATGTATGCAGTTCCTCTGAACACACATTCCATGTAAAAGCTTATATATAGACCTTTCGTTTTAGGGTCTATCACTTTACACATAATAACAAAAGTAGCCTATTTTCTTTTTCCTGTTCATTCATCCACCCACCCCACTGTGTTAACATGCCATTTGGTTTGTGAGGTGTGTACATACCGTAAATTTGCCTTATTGCTCTCATTCTCTCTGTCTTCCTAACAAATACAATTCATCTTTGTTTTTTTATTTTCCTTGTCTTGTCCCCACCATCATTTTCCTTTATCGATTAGACATATGTAACACCACCCTTCAGTTTTATGTCGTACACCACCATCACCGTCACCACTATCTTGTATATATTATAAGTCCCATCCGACTCAGCATGCCTTTATTCTATATATCACATCAGTACTAGCAGCGATAACAACAAAAACAACACAATTCTAATTGCGCCTTCACCTCACCTCTCTCTCCACTCTTATGTCGTCGTAGCCTGGGTCAGTAACTGGAACAAAATAGTATTGGGGTGGTAGTTGTTATGTTAGCTTTCATGACCTAGTTGGGATGGCAATAATAAATAATATGATGTAGAAGTAGAGGAGGTAGGTGGTGGTATTGGGGGAAATTGAAGCTATCATTTAGTCGGCTAGTTTCATTTATAATATTGCTTGATCAGCTGTCCTGATATACTACTGAAGTGGGTGTGGGACGGTTTTCTTTTTCAATAATAATAATAATAATAATAATAATAATAATAATAATAATAATAATAATAATAATAATGGCAATAATAATAGTATTAGTATTATGTGTCTAATGCGCTGTTATGTGCAGTATATATTTATGTTTTAGTTTTGTTTTTTACAACAGCTTTATAGATCGTCATTGTTAAGAATATATAAAGTTAACCATGTATATTTCTATAACCCGTTTCAGTAAATGAAATTAGTTTTTATGCTAATCTTTTGCTATATTAAATCATCTAATCAATCAATTGCTTTCAAGTGTAAATAATCATCCTTATTTGAGGATCGGGATCTATTAGTTTTTAAACATTATTCAAGAAGCGAGTATGAATTATCTTGAAGGTATTAGTCCCTTTGTTAAGTTTCGACAGTGCAATGAGAAGATTGTCATCTTCTTTATAATTCATTTGAATATGACAAAGTGCATCGATTCAAGGAGCTAAAAGTTGATGACTGCCTTGAATAAGATCATAACATTAAATTAATTGTCATTTGAATATTGTCGAAGAATATCGATAGATGGCTTCATACATTATTTTGCATATTGACATGATCGATATTTTTAAATTGTTCCACCGAAATATGAACGATAAGTTACAGTAATACATACCTCTGAATATGAGGTTATATATGTATATCGAAGTATAGTTTCTTCTTTTACATTCCTTTAGGTGAATTATCAGTACCTAGTCCTTTATCTTCAATGGGTGCTGGTGGTGGTGTCAATCTACCTGGTGTCGGTGCTGTTTCTCTTTCTCCGCCCCATCTTACTTCTGACGCATTAACACCAAATCCTGATGGCCATTCAGTTTCGTCTACACAACAAAATCCCCCTTCAGTACCACTATCAACAACAACAACATCGTCGTCATCGACGGTAAGTAGTATTTTATTGAAAATACAGGACGTGCTGTTAAAGCCATAGTTAAATTCCTCTTTCTTACTTTCTTTATGTAGATTTCTCAAAAGGTACTGCTATTATTGTTGTAATTGTTTCTACAATATAAAGTTAATTTATTTATAATAGCATTCTTAATATTTTTCTATTTTTGATTAGTCTTTATATTGAATTTTGACATCTGGCATAGTGTACATATTTTTGTTACGAGACCTCACTGTTCCGTTCACTATTTTCAACTTTTGTCTTTAAAACCTGTAAATGTAAGCCTGTCGTACAATATCTGAAATTTTGATAATTTTTACAACGTTGTAGTTCACACCACGGATTAATCTTTGTTAAATAACAATTGGAAACCAGGAAGCATTGGAAAGCTATTTATTCCTAGTATATAATTCCTTAGCAGTACACATTCACAACCCCTACTGCAATTGGACCACTACCTTCAAGTCTTGTTGCTAGCGCTTAATCTTTAGACTATTGAGTTGGCATCTAGTGATTTACATTCCTACCTCCAGCCAATTCTCTATATTTCACAACTATCTTCCAATAATACCAGTGGTTAACCGCCCCACATCAGATATAATTGGGCTACTGCTCACGACCTTACTAGAACTCCGTAGATTACCTCCTGAAACTAGTCACTATTGACCACACTGTTATTATTCTTAGTTTGCGAAAATTGGTAATGCAAATTTGAAGAGCCAGTAATCTGCCATCTCTCTATACTGATTTTTACAATTTTTTGTTTCATGATCTTGTTATCGAAGTTTTAATAGGATGCCGATCCGAGTAGTATGTTTTGCTTGTTCAGGTTGCTAACTCAGAAGTCTCTTTGTCACGTCGTTAAATCCCCTCTACTCTCTTCCGTTGTTAGGCTTCATATTCATCCATTTTACATTTATTTTGGAGGCTTGGATCGTATCACTATTCTTCACACTAGGATTGTGATTCTAAATACGTAAACGTGGTAGACTTATAGAGTTTCTTCGCAAATCACGTATCATAGAGTTGTCGTGGCGTATGAATTTGATTAATATTTTCTTCGTTTATTTTAGATTATGGAATAGGAATGATTAGTCTCTAATAGCTATATTTGTTGACGAAATTCTGAAGTTATTGTATAAACTATTTAATGTAATTATTATTTTCAGATAATTAAGAACGATGTAGATAACCATTTATTGTTGAAATTGTGTTTCTCTAAACTAATATTATGTCATTGATTAGTCAACATGTAATTGAACATTCATTTGTGTACGCATTAGCCCTTCACTTTTTATTCATTTTAATCTGCAGCGTATAAAAGACGCCTTCATATCTAATAAAAAAGTAAACCTTAATTTATATAAATATTTCCACTACTCATGGGACCACATCCAATGAGGCTTACGATTATATACTCTGTTTATTATTATCGGTTATGGTTGTACTTAATAGATTCGATAGCTGTGAATGATTCTTCACTCATATTCTTTTGATAAAGAACAGGATTAGGTTACAAAAAAACCCTTAAGAATATATATCCCCACTTGTAAATTCATCAACATACAAACACTCATATTAACTTATCTACCTATATTTGTATTTTCACATACTGTCTCCACCATATACACACTCTCATGCCATGTCATTTAAAACAAACAAGCAAGCGAAAAGACTAACATCTACCACTATCATGAAGATATTAATGAATAAAAAGTATATATATATACTGGTATGACTGAGAAAAATTATTATATGTTATTCTTTATTATTTCTTGGGTAAGTACACTAGTATTATGCCTGCGTATATGTAGTAGTAATTGTTTTAATGGTGATTTGTCATCTAAATATGCTTCAGGGTGTAGCTATTCAGGTTGAGTGGTTCTTTGTCCTCATGATTTTTTTCACCATGATGCTTTTCACTTTCAGACTAGGTGCATAATTGTCATCGTCATTGTTTCTGCTCTATTGTGCTAGATAAAATTAACATAAATATTATTATTTATACGAAATCATTTTGTTACGTAACTTCGTCTATCTGATATTCATCTTCTAAGTTTGTAGTTTATGTATATCGAACAATTTATCTTTTTTTAATGCTGCGATGCGAAAAACTTTGGTTTTGTCCAATTTCCATTTTATAAGCTTATAATTTCTCAAAATATTTATAGTTGTCGTCGAAAAGTTAATTTTCAGTAACTCTGGATATCTCTAAATAAAGTTTGATAACTGGAAAACTAAGAACCATGAGTAATTTTGTGTAACATCATCTATTGCTTCCCCAACTTAATTGATGTTTAAATGCCTGAACTCTTAATTGACTGAATTGTTGGCAGTTGTTGTTACATGGTTACATAGCCACATGTCACCTGAATACATTGGTGACTGTTCTATGAAACGAGTACATTTTTCACAATATCCTATTTTTAGCCCATTGTTCTCCCCTTTATAAACGTTCAGTCATTCATGTTCAATTTATTATTGTTTACCATTCAGAATGGTGGAAAATGGTTCCAGTTTTTAAGTGGAAAATATGTTTCGATCGTACTAAACCAGAGTGTTTTAAAACTTATTCAAATTCGCCGTCCTTTAACAGTCAATGGCTAACGTCTATTTGTGTCTATTTATTTTGAGAATGGCTTGTTTTTGTTTCATTAATATATTAATTGTATATAGACCTGGGGAAACTGTACAGCAAAGTTTAAATAGGTTTATTTCCGAGGAATTTTATTAGCATACTAATATTTATCTGCGAAATGCTTTTCATTAATGATGACAACCATTCGAATTGCTGGTATGTGAAGCTTTAGTTAAGGAGTTACCGAGTTTTACTTGATGAATCCCCCAACGTATACAGAGATGTTTAAAAACCTGCTAATATATGATTTGAAATCGATTACATAGAATCAGCGCATTCATTTTTTCTAGCTTATATTCGTAAACACAAGATATAGCCAGTTCATTTATTTTTCTTCTTTCTTTATCCTATCTCAAGTTTGTTTTATAGTTGTTATATTGACAACTTGAACTAGTGCTATTCCCCCTCCAAGTTTTATTTAGTCTATCAGTCATTATTGAACAATATCGTAAATTAGCGTTCATAATGTCCACTGTTAACATAAAACTGGTTTGATGGGCAATCGACATCTTTAGTTTGTTTCTGAATTACAACAAGTTTGTGTATATGGATATTGAGGCTTTTCTGGGAAATACCAATGGTTCTCCTTGTAAATTGATTTTATCACACTGATGAATTAGTTTCAGCAGTATAGGGTTGTGAAGATTGTTGAGTTTCATTGGTCATGAACCGATCGATGTTAGACAACCATTGAACACCTAGTAGCACTGGACGGCCGTTTCGTCCTAGTACATTACTCTTCAGCAGCGCACATCAACCACAAACTTAGGAGCCGAACATAGGACCTTCGGTGTCGTGCACGAACACTTGACCTCTAGCCCACTGAGACACCATCCAAAGGTGTTTAATTTCAATCAATCCATAATGTTTCGCGACCATCTCTCATTGTCTTTTGTGGGTAACTGCCACACGCTATACACGGTTGAACTCTCCTGGTCACAGTTTCTCACTAAGACTCCGAGAATTACCTCTTGAAGCTAGTTACTACTTGTGACCACATAATTATCACTATATAGGGTTGTTAGGATTGTTAAGGTTCATTAATCTAACATTGATCGGTTCATGATTTCAATGAAATTAGCTTTGGTTAATAGATAAGTCTATAATACCATATACTTTAAAGCGATTAAAATGTTTTCATTATTCAAGTGCTCTTGTATGTGTTTGTTATTCGAACATTCACAAATAACATCTTAATAATGTATATCGTATGATTTAAAATTGAAATATTAGATATAGAATAGTATAAGTAAATAAGAATGAATGTTGAGGGGCACTGATAATCAACATTTTAGTTAATAATTAGCTAACTAGTAAGTGAGTGATCATCATGACATTAGGCTTTAATAATGAAGTCAGAATTACATATTTTGTTTTATTTCTTTGGTATCAAGTATTATCACAATCAAGTGCTGATATATATATATATATATATATATATATATATATATATATATATATATATATAGTCGAGCATTGTGAGGAATCATCATCATGTTCATTTCACAAATATTTGCACAAATGAGTCGATTAGTTGTTTACTAATCATTGCCACATTTTTCTCATTGTTACTATATTATCGTACTTTTATATATACCAAAATTATAGTGGGATAATCATTTATCCCGTTTTTTTAAATGTGCTTTTCAATGACACCTAGAGATGTTTTAATCCGTATGTTAACCATGAGAAAAGTAAATGTTTATTAGTGATAGGACGTAGTTAAAAGGATACTCTGCACTTAAGTTTGGTCCTAGTTGATATTCATTCGCAAGGCTTACTTGTAATTGAGATCCAAAAGATGCATCGATCCCCTCAAGTTTGCAGATATATTCTTAGTTGATAAATGCCTATTAGCATAAAACTTGTCCCTGACTTTCCTACCTACTGCCTCCAACCACTTAACATCTCAACATAGTAAACGCAATATTGAGTTATTTAGACTCGTGGCTACATTGCAACTTGACTGGTAAAAATTATGTAATTTGTTCCCCTAGTGAATTTAAATAAGGCCAAACAATTTGATCAACACCAATGGACTAGACACACATAACTTTAGTAACTATTTAATAATCAATCAATTGCGTAGAAAAAGGATTGTCAAACCAGTTTTCTTTATATATGTTATTATCATATAGAGTAAACTATAGTATTCTAGCGGTTTTTTGTGTCATTTGTATTCATATTCAGTTCCATTGTGTTTGTGTGTAGTTCTTTGTTTTTTGTAATCAACAACATCCCCAATATGATGGAAGTTTGGAATTTCCCCACACTCGTGTAATTTCTTGTCGATATTTTCTCTTCATATGTATTTTCTAACTCTTATATTCCATTCTTCTCTGTTCAACTGATTATTTAGAACGATATATTAAAGTAAACAAAATAAAAAAGTGTTGGATCATCTCTGTGCTGTATTGCTAATATTGGAGCTTGTTAAAATGAGACTTATTTCGTTCTCTAAGCACCCATAATTTTGTTAGTGTTTGAAATGAAACCATTTCATTATTTTGTGCTTGTATAATATATTACTTCATAAATAATAAAAACAATCATATACCCTATTCCGCTGAACTAGTTAGTTTAATGTTAAATTGATGATATGAAATTGTTGAGAGGATAAAGAACTGTCTATCCTTTTATAAAATTTATCCTCACTTGTTATATTTTGCAAATCTGTATTAAATTCCATGGAATACATTCAAAAGTTTTACTTTTGATTAAAGTATTTTTTCCATGTAGTAAATTCGATTTACATAAACTTTTTAAGATCTATATACATCGTGTCATTTTACCAGTGTTATTTATATTTCATTTAAAATAATTTTATTTTTCCGCCTCTACTTATCAGATGATGTTTGATACAAATTTTGGCAGTTCTGGAATGAGTGGGATTTCGAATATTGGCAGACCGTAAGTTGTTGACTTCGTTCGATGAACTCTTATATACGTTTATTGTTAGTTTTATGATCACAATATTGCAATCTATTCAATCTAGTACCCTTTAATCACATCACTTTTCTAATCGGCTTCATAATTTTGTGTAGGTTGTTCGGATTAAGGAGATATTCTCTGTCATACTGTTTATTTAATATTTTATCTACTGTCTCTCTGGGCTGGAAATATTCTTTGTTCATATATATAATCAAATTTAGTGTTTTGAGTTTTTTTCAGTTCACTGAAGAGATGATTGTTGTTGTATGTCCTAATCTCTTATAGAGAGCTTTGCTTCGACAAATAACAACAACAAGTCTGTCATCTTATTACTAATATATTCTCATGTTATAGATTTGCCAATATTCTGTTCTGTTTTTTGTTTTCTCTCCCATTGATACTTATAGCGAAGAGATTTTTTTCTGTTGAGAAAAAATATTTTTATTTTTATTAAAATTTTATTTATTTCCCTCGTGTCTCCTTACTTTTCCTCTTTTTCTTTTACATTTCACGTATCGTTGTTTATTTGCATCAAATTTGTATCCTCCAACCCGTCCTGAACCTTCTTTTTTGTATGTTTTCAAAAAACTATATCCATCTTACTGCCCCGCCATATGTGCATACATAGTTAAATATTCAGCAGCATTTGTTTGAAAGTGTGTATTGTCCCATGCTTTTTGTACCTGCCAGTTTTATACTATTCGATCAGCTTGTATAATGTAATGTCTTCAGTTTCTTCTTTCTTTCACTCTTTATCTTTGCTATGCTCCTCTTAAACATCTTTTTCTTCTTTAACCTACACTTGACCATTAGATGATGCATCTTCTACTCTCCACCACCACAAACGTTTTTATGCAATCATCTTAAAATAAGAACTCCCTTAAAAGTCTTAATTACAGAACACCGATGTTCTTACTACGTTGTATGTCAACCCTCCCTACCTTACACTGTTTCTGTGTTTTTTAATTGTCTATTCCTGTCTCTCCAACCTAAATTAATACTCAAACATAACACATGTTTCTTCTTACGTTTGTAATTTCACCAACCACCCTTCGGATTTATCACCTAAGTTGTCATTACCTCTTTAACTCCCCTCCACTATTCATCGCATTTTTGTGTGTAGATATTCACTTTTCTCTATCCCTCTTTGATTATGGTATACTTCCTGTTTGTCTGTATGTTCGTGTCTGTTCTGACTGTAGATAAAGGAAATATCTTCGTCTCTCCACCAAATTTTTGTTCTAGTAACAATATCAATATACTTTCGGTCAAGAGTAATAGAGTATTTTTTTAGTTTACATTATGACATTCTCCTAACAGTCTGTTGTTAGACCGTCCATTATCTCTCCCTACCACCTTCCTTTTATTTCCTTTCGACACCCAACCTTTTCAGATATCAAGTTGCTTTGTCTATGTTCTAATCACATCACTATATACTTGTTCATTTTTCTGTACACATAATTGGAATTTGTGTATATTCACTTCAATGTGTATTTATCTGTATGGTGTACGTGGAAATGTGTGGTTTAACCCGTAATTTCTGTTTTCTATTACATCAACTAAATTGTATGTATTTGTGTGCGCATATATATAATTTGTTAGAACTCTTTGGTTATCCATCTCTAAACGCATAGGTCTATAAACTTACCCGTTCCATCTATTTTGGGAAAATAATACATTATCTTAGGGATATTCATTTCATGTACGAACTATCAGCACTAAGGGTTGTACATGTTCGTTTGAACCATTGTATAATTAAGTTTGTCTGGTTAACTCGGGTTAATTTATCCGATGTTTGTATATTTATGTAATAGGTTAAATCATGGAAAAACTGAAATAAATAAAAGTAATTTAATAAATACTATAGAAATCGCTTATATAGTTGGCTATTGTTTGTATTTATTTATTCAGTTATTTTACTAGTAGCTCATACTCATCTTTATATTAACTGTCTATATTATCATTGGAAAACAGCCAAAGCATCTTGGATCTCACTACACACTACAGTTTAAATGTACTGAAAACTTGTAACTATAAGGAGTATAAAAGTAGTCTTCTCATAAAGGAAATATATTAACAATAGTTACTGATTTAATAAAGTTTTTAATATCAACAATGTGGAAATTGAAAGCCTTTATGTAGATCTTTATACTTAGTTCAATGCGGAAAAAAAGATGAATATTTTGTTCATCTTTCAGTGTTATGGTTTTTGATTTTTATTTTGATGTCTTTATGAATATCACTAAGCTAACTGAATATTTCTTAAATTTACTCTATTGAGGTAATTCTTCACTTATTCAAACATTTCTAAAACCATCTTTGTATCCATACTGGATAAGAGAAATTACTGTTACTATTTGAAATATATACAAAATTTGTCCAATTATTCTTCATAAACAGTAGTTTGTAAACGAAAATCTAGCATTACAATTTGTCATTTATAATGAATATATATTTCTTGATTCCGATCTTGTAGACCATATTCATTTCTTCGTTTGGATAACCAATCACCAACTCCTGTACCATTCACTCCAGATGCTTTCTTTGGTCCAGGTATTCCACATCAAGCAAAAGCGATACATTGTTTGGATCACGGAGAGGTTGTCTGTGCTGTTACAATTAACAATGCTACACATCAGATTTATACTGGAGGTAAAGGCACTGTTAAACTATGGGATTTAAATTCAACTACATCTAATCAATCTCCGAATTGCGGTGGAAGTTCAGGTCAATCAATCATCACTAATAAAACGTGTATAACAAGTCTCGAGTGTTTACAAAGAGATAAATACATACGATCGATTAAATTAACCCAAGTAAATTGTAGAATAGTCTTATATTCACTGTGTTTGGATGTTTGTTGGATATTAATTATTTTATTTGTGAACACCAAAAACTATTTTATTCTGAAGTTAGATTTTGTACTTGTCTATATAGATATGTGTATCTGTACTTAGAACTATAGTCTGTCAAGTTTTGGGAAGGATGATATATACAATAAATATCTTAAAAAGTGTTCTAGTTTCTATTCTATAACGAAGTTGATAGTAAATTCTTTACATAAAATTTATAAATTAGCCTAGTAACAGTATATAGCGTTTATTACCTAACACACTCCGGAATTATTTCTAAATTTAGTTAATTAAACTATTGCACAATGGAGTGTTTTCAAAAAATTTAATCATTCAACCAACTTATTTCTAAGGCAAACACATACTATTCCTAATCTGGGGCTTCAACTTAAAAGTTTTCCGTGACGCTCACCTTTAACCGTACACTTAAAAATGTGACAGATTTTTCATACTACTTGAAAGTAGGTTAAATTGAATTAGGGAAAAGTTGCGTTCAATGCAAGTTATTTTTTCTTATTTACCTATTTTATTATTATTAACAAATTCTTATTGATAATCATCTCACAAGTGGATTACAATGATACTGTTGCGCATCTATCTAATGATTTCTGGCTTTATTTCTTTTCCTCTTTTGGTTTAGAGAAACCTTTTAAAAAAAGCACGACATATTTTCACAGGGTTTTTAGCCGATGATGAGAAAATATCGCAGAAACAGGTTCAGCCTACAAGTTATGTTAGATGGATAATCTTCAAGTATGACAAAAAAATAATCAAGTCGATTGATAGAAATTGTGTAGAGTTAAATAACAATTTGGTTAACGTATAAATTTCTTAGTTTTTCTCATTAAAATGCGCAACTTATTTTCGTTATCTTAATATCCCTGACTAATGTCACGTGTCGAGTCATCAATTAGGATTCTAACTCTAATTTGATCTGTTTCGCATGTACTGTTTCCTCGATAGCCTAGTTTCTCCAAACTGACCAATTACACGCTAGAACAGCACTAATGACCCTGAACCGACAGTTAAGTTTCTACTGGTCCGTTATTTGCAAGCTACTTTCTGTGTCCGGCCTCGAGTCCAAAAGTGGTAACCAACCTCTACCATATTTATATTTCAAATGAATGTAGTTTTTATACAGAAACACCGGACCGCATCACGCTAATTACAAACAAACAAGCCCAAAGTGGCTATAAATAAGGGAGTCTGTAAGTAATAGACTGGGAACAAATTGGGATTGATAAGTCATATAACAGTATTGAATGAGTTAACCAAAAGCGTGTGGTAAATGAAATACATATAAATTGTAATCTAATTACCCATTAATTATGAAATAATACAATAATAATAATAATTCTAAAAACTAGTACCAATTTTTGAAACATCTTCGTTATAACAATTTTCGGTCGCCATTGGGAAATTTTTAGGCAAGGGGTACATTACGTGAACTCACTATTATCATCCCCTGGTTCCCCAAACTTAAATAAGCTAGAATGAATTTGAATCACTAACTTTCTGGTTAAAATTCAACTAACAAATTCAGTCCCATTTGTTCTCAAGATGTTATATGCCTCTTGCTTATACTTTTTGTTTTCTAATCAACTTACTATTATAAATTTAAATATTAGGATTTTCATAGATGAAGAAGTTTTAGTTGTTAACTAGAAATTATTTCTATCTTTTCCTTTTTTTAAAAAAATGTAGGATGGAAGAACATTAGTGGTAGGTGGTGAATCTAGTATATTAAGTATATGGGATTTGGGTCAAGCTAGTCCTCATCCAAAAAGTGAACTTACATTTACAGCTCCAGCATGTTATGCTTTGGCTGTATCGCCTGATAGTAAATTATGCTTCAGGTAATTATAATGTATTGTTATTTATGATCATCATATATTTGCAACATTTCTCTTTTCATTGGTTTTTGTATAGTTGGTAAATGTTTTTGTCATAATGTTATCTAGTAATTAATTTAATAATCTTAATATTTGATTTATTTATTGATCACTTTATCTTGGTTGTCAACACCTTTAAAGTTTATATAATTAATAAGCATGATCTGATACGTTTAAAAGTTAATAGTGTATGAGGAGATATACACCTTACATATTCTCTGAAGTAATAGTTCCGTATGTTTTTTTTATTAGTGAACAATGGTAAATTGTCTGATATGTATTCTTTTTTTGTCTCGTCATTGAAACTGTACACAATGATTAGTTCATTAATCATTTGAAAATTTTATTAAGTTGATTCATAGTCTTATGAATTATTTCGATTTTTTGAGGCTTCTTGTTTTTTAAGTAATCTAAAATAATATTAGAATATTCATTACATTGATAAATGGACGAATATTTTGAGAAAAATCACATTTTGGGCACCCGGACAGTATCACAGCCCTCACATATATCGAATGAGATCTGTGTGGCGCATATGTATTTGGTGCCTCCTTGTACCAATATTTATGTGTTAAAATAAATAAATAATATAAAGATACATATTGTGTATTTGCTGCAATGCAATGTTTAGATGCTAATGATTTGCACATTTCTTATAGTGTTTACAAAGTTAATGTTTAACTAAAACAATTTATTGCTAGTTTGTTATATACCATAATAATTATTCAATAATACACTATTTACTTGTATTGATACTATTTTGAAAATATTTAATTGGTACTGGAAATCTGTTTAGATAAAACTTACAAAAGTGGTTGTATACACTAGATGCTGGTATATCTGTAAAAACGTCCGTTTAAATTTGAATGAATAGTTTCACTGTAGTTATTAATTATTAGTAGATAATAATTATTAATTAGATGTTAGTGTGTTGGTTGTAAGTAGTACATTTATGGAGTACTACCTTCTTTATTGTTTAATTCACCTTCATTTATACAACATTCTGTATTCTAGACTTACAAGTTGAGAATGTGTAAAAGTTGATAATTTTTCCTTCTATAGAATATTATGTTATAACTGTTCAAATTCTGTAAAATACATTGATCATATTTTTCTATCAGTTGCATCTGGAATGCTGAAGCTCAAGATTTAAAATAAAATAAAGATTGACTGCATTTACACCGTTGTGGTTGATTCTGAAACATTTCATCCGAAATTTCCAATCATTAATCGGGTTTATCGCATTCATCCCGACCGAGTGGTACGGATTCATCAACATGGTTCAGAACAACAGTCAGTGATTTCATTGACTTATGACATGTTTTACTTTGACCGCTTCCTTTCGATTTGCCTATACCACCAGCTAACATCACCTATCGAGTTAGGCAGTGGTTAGATATACGTAATACACGATCTACCACATCAATCGATAAGAGTTTGCATTACTATCAACCGATTTGCTAATTTTACCTAACGCCCTTTACCTAACTTCAACTTTATCCAACCGTTGCACGATATGCGACAATACTTTCAAGATACCTGTTGTCAAATACTTTAAGCCTATGCTTGTCTCTCACTTTCAAAGACCGTGTTTCATAGCTGTAGAGTAGTACAGAGAGGAGATTTTCGATGCATAGGCAAAAGTCTAGGTATGTTTTAGGATTTCTACACAGGTTTCTTATAAATTATTGGCTTTTAATATAGTTTTTCTAATAAAAGGGATTTTTAATTGTTACTGATTACTGTACTTGTGACAAATGATTACAAAACCATTATTCTCTTGTTCTGTCAAACTATTTTACTATCTTATGGCAATTTCTATTACCTGATTACACCATACTTCTAGCTGCTGTTCAAATGGAAATATTGGTGTTTGGGATATACATAACCGTATTTTAGTTCGTCAATATCAAGGGCATGCTGAAGGGGCATCTTGTGTCGATATCCGTCCAGATGGAACACGCTTGTGGAGTGGAGGCTTAGATAAAACTGTACGTTGTTGGGACTTACGGGAGCATTGCCAAATAAGTCAAGTTGATTTGTCAGCTCAAATATTTTCCCTTGGTTATTGTCCAACGGGAGATTGGTTAGCTGTTGGATTGGAAACAGATCAAGTTGAAGTGTTCGGTCCTGGTCGTCCAGAACGTTATCAACTATCGCTGCATGAAAGTTGTGTTTTGTCTCTTAAATTTGCTCACAGTGGCTTGTGGTTTGCTTCCACTGGTAAAGACCATTGTCTATACGCTTGGAGAACTCCTTATGGTGCTAACCTCTTTCAGGTAAGTTCTATTTTCAGTATAAATTTCCAACCTATTTATAAAACTACGTTGAGAAAATATCTAATACAATGAGTTTTAGAGTCCTAAAAGTGGTATAATTTTAACGTTTGTTCGCCATATAATGCAAAACGAGCCATACTGACTAGTTTTTAGTATGTTACTATTGTTTAACACATTTAGTAATTTTTTTCTACCCGTTGGTCTCTCATGTCAATTTGAATTCAATTATATTTGGGTAGTACTTTGACGTTTCCATAGTTTACTGGTTTGCCATAAATATTGGTGGTTCTAATCCTTTTATATTATTTTGAGTCCTTTATGTTTTCATAGGAGAATTCGATTTACCAAAGATTTCTGTTGACCTAGTGAGTTGGCCCACTTGTAGACATTTAACAGGCTTTTTTTAGATTCAATTTCGTATTTTCAGTCTAGTTAGCTGGATTTATCTACTATTTTGATAAAATTCAACTTCATCTGGTAGTCGATTATTTACGACTTGTGCAACTCAGCCTTATTGTTTATTAGCTTTGATTTTAAAAGCTCATTTTCACATCTTATTCTTGAGTACTGACCTAAATGAAACACTGGTAAAAAATTCTTTAACTATTGCTCTCGAATGTCTGATAGATATATGTGTGATTTGTTAGTCCTAGAACGGTGAATATACTAATTTACGAAGATTGGTTCTGTTGAACAGGAAGGGACAATTAATAAATTATTTATTCTTGAGCGTTAGAACTTTTATAGATGACACTATTGAAGAAGAATCGATCAAAATCAAACAAAAATACTCATAGACAATGGCTTTTCTCACAGGTTCATACTGTAAATAAAGCATATTTCTATGCATAACATATTTTAACCTAAAAACTATGTTCTGTTTTCCTTTTCTTCGATCCATCATGTTCAATATAAGGGAGTTTTCTCTTGTTTTATCCCAGAATGGTACTTAATCTAGTTCTAATTTAGTAAGTTGAGGGCGATTAAAGATTATGCCTGCTTATTTCTTATTCTCTATGTGTTATAATAGGAATTATGCGAATAATTAGTAATTATATACCATTAAACTACCATTATATCGTTTAAATACCTTTTTATACTTCATTTACACTGTTCAATTGTCAGAATCGTTAGTAGTAGTAATGGTGGTAGTGGTAGTGTTATTACTTAAATGGCATTCCTAGTTGTACAGTAATTATATCATTTTGAATTTTTCCATTTTTTACTGATTGTTTCACTATGTTCTCTTTTTTCTTGCATTATTGTTATTATTACATTTAGGTCAAAGAAAACTCATCTGTGTTGAGTTGCGACATATCACTAGATGACAAACTCCTAGTCACTGGGTCTGGTGATCGTAAAGCTACTGTCTATGAAATAATTTACTAATTCTATCTATGCGCTAGTTGCTTTTCGTTTTTCCTACGTTGCTTTTTATGTCCTACTTACTGGTGCTAGTGCGTGTGTGTATATTTATATGTGCTATTCTGTGTATGGCGCTAATGGTAACAGAACACCGACACACACGCACACATTAAATAATAGCATTAGTAGTTCAAAAAACCATACAACAACAATAACAACAAACGAGTCAGTATTTTCTAGTCAATCAAACGTAAACGTTAATATTCATATGCATATATTATACTGTTTTATGTCATATCACATTGATGTTGTTTTTGATGCTACGAAGAAAAAATAATCATAATTTACGAAGTCAGTATCGTTTCTACTTGCAATTTGTTCTCCTTTCAATACATACATTTGCTTACCTATCTACCACCCTTCAAAATCACTTTTCTCGTGCATTTTATATCACTTTTTCTCTCCTGATTCTCATCTCGAGTGTGTATTATATCTTTGTTTTTGTTCCGTTTTTTGTCTGTGCTGTTCAGAATTTTGGTAAGAAAGCAAGCAAGTCGACATACATCTCCACATCAATATGCACATTACTCTCTTGATGTGATCATTCAAAGCTTTTTTTTCTGTTAACTAACAAATTATTCTACGTTGTATAAAACTACACTATTTATTATTATTATTATTATGTAGCGTACATATACATATTACCAGGAAAATTGACCGGCAAGAACGAACAACAAACAACCAAAGTTGTTTCTTTGTTACTTTTCCTTCTTTCTCCATTTTCCTTTCTTTCCTTTTGTGTCATTGTTATAATTTTTTTCTCAGGTTCATGTATCCAACTTGTTTTTATCGCCTATATTGCATTGACTTGGAGAGAGATAATGAATGGGGTACACGTTAGTTCGAAATTTGTGTAACTTTTTGATTCAAGTTTGTTGTTTTGTTCTTTCGTGTCATTACTTTTCTTAACTGTGTTGTAATGCTGTTATCGTCGCCATCCCCTCTACCGCTACTGTTTAGTTGTACTTTGTGAATATATATATATATATATATATATATATATATATATATATACTCATTGATAGTGTTTGTTTAATAGCGTTATACTTTTATCGCCGTCTTTGCTTTTTTTTGCTATTTCTTTTTCAATCTTCCAGTTAAAATTCTAAAAAAATTATCAGTTTTTCTGTTTCTTCCGTTTTGTTTTAATAACGTTCCCTTAACTGATAATATATATATATATATATATATATATATATATATATATATATATATAAATGTGTATAGTTCATTATACGATAATGATTATTAATAATCAGATAAGTTATTCATACAGGTTTATTATTTTTCTCTCAATTATTAATTTGTTAATACACATACCCGAGCACTGTAATATTGTGTTGTTGTTTGTTTGTCTACACATTGTGGATGATTTCTCGTGTTTTTTAAAAACAAAGCAATTCAGCCTATTTAAATCGAGTTATGATTACTTACATTTTAATAAGATGTAAGGATGTGTGTTTGCTTGTATTATGTAAATAAAACTTGTGAGAGATAGACGTATAATCTGTTAATAGTATGTCTGTTAAGGTATTTTCTGTTAAAGAATTCGGTTCTTCTGTTATTATTATATATGAATCTGTTTTTTTTTTGTATTCATCAATGTGCTCTATTTAATAATAATTTTGCGGTAATGTTCGCTATTTCGTTCATTTACGTTTTATTTACATCAAGCTTCATAACAGTATGACGTATCGATTTTATATATATATAGTCAACCAGTCATGAGGAATGTACAACCTGACACCAATTCAAGCTGCCACATCACGTCACTACAGCAAGATGACATAACAGAATTAGTGACAGTATCAGTGGTAGCAAAAAAGATTTGGTTTAAACAATATGATTTAGGAAGTAAATATGAACTCGTCGAATAACAATGTATAGAATGATTTGAAATCAAGATACAAGGGAGACAAAGAATGATTAAATCTGTTATTGTGGACGTTTCTGAGCCATGTAACCTAACATCTCCAACCAAGTAATCTCTATCTATTAATATGGCTCATCCACAGTCCCTGACTTCTTGAGGTGGGGCCATTTCTTTGTCCACAATATTAAACAATCACTTGTTTACTCCTATCAAATTGAAATACTTTTAAACAACCAACTGAGAGACATCAACCCATGTAATATACTTAGAATAGGGATAATCACTGTAATATTGACTTATGAAATTCCTCGCATGACATTTATATACAGTCGCTGATAAATTGAAAATTTGCTATTTAAAGCATTTTTGACAGTCTTGGAGTGATGTGCCAGGGGTATTTACGTTGCATGATTTATCAGTGATTTTTAATTATTTGGTCGATATGTATTGTTGGTTTACTTATACTTTGATAATATAGTAAGCAGTACAAGGCCAAAAATAGCCTGAATTTACCTTACGGTCATTTTGTAGTTTTGATTGATCCATCCGACTTGCACTAATTATGTTCCAATGAATTATCTCTGTTTTCACTGTTCTAATATGTAACACATCTCCGGGTTGATATGACGGGTAGTTAGCACGAGTTTTACTCTATTAAATTACTTTGTAACTATCTGTCTTCGAAGAATTATTCTTAGATCTAAAGCCTGATCACTGGTCCGAACTGTCAGACATGTTTCTTCAGCACACTGAAATTTATTGGTAAGCCCCAAGTGATTTGAACTTTACACTTAGGGAATAAAATCCATATTAAGATCTTGTCTCTTAAACTAGCAGACCCGAAAAATCTAGTAAGGTGATTAGATATATCAGTAGTTACACAAATTATTACAATTGGTAATTAGCATTAATCTCTTATCAGAAAGTGATTCTTATAGGTTTAACTTCGTAAACGTAACGGCGCTGCCTTTCTGGGCCGTTCATTGTCTTCGCGACGCCTTTACCCTCATGTCTAAACTGAAATCAAAATGACTTCAGGGATGATGGATCAATAAAACAGATGAAAATGAGTTAGGTTACAACCATTCGGCAATTACTAGTGCGTTATATTAATGAATGGGATATTGGATACATTTCTTTCGCGACATAACACATTTTGCTATTTCCAGCTCACTATAGCTTAATAAGTTCAGATCGAAATGTGCTCAAGCAAAATGCATTTGTTACCTAATTTTTCCTCATAAACTAACCCACATGAGAAGTCTCGGATAGGACGGAAATGACTTCCTGGGTTTCACTGATTTTCACAGCCTAAATATACTAAAACTTGTGACTAGAGGCAGTATTGAAATAGTCTCCTCAAGAAGTACACATACTAATAGACACTGATCAAATGAAGTCCCTAATGTCAGCAACCTTTATGAATAATAACTTACAATAGCTTTCGAAGTGAATTTAATGTTTAGTGATGCAAAGTACATCGTTGTTAGGCGAATTAAGGGATTAAAGTAGGTTCGGAACATTTAATAAAAAAATTTGACTGAAGAAGCTGTCGTCAACGTTAGTCGGCTATTATAATGGGTAAACTAAATTCGAAATAACATGAAATGTATCTTGGAATAAATCGTGAAACATAATCGTTTAATGACGGGATTTCTAATGTTGTCATCAATAAACCACAGTATTTTGCCAGTATGGGGTTACTGTGTTTTTGATTGAGATCATAAATCGATGAATTTCAGACCACCATTGAAAACCTGTAAGCAATGAATGTCCGCTTCATCTCGGTATGGGACTCCTTAGCAGCGCGTGTACACAATCCCGCACCTGGAATTCGAACCCAGGATCTCCACTCTCGCGTGAAAGTGCATGACCTCTAAACCACTGAGACTCCATTCAACGGTGTTATTGTCTAATCTCAACCAGTCCACGAAATTGCGAGATCATCTAGTATTTGAATAATGCTCCAAATCGGTAATTTCACATAAATAGTTTGGGCAACTCACTGAAGAGTAGAAAACCGTAAATAATTCAAAATGTATTGGCAAAATACATTCTAATGTAAAATATATATACCTGATATTTGAAACATTCTAAGAATTAATTCATTGTCAAAGAGGTCACTTAATGTCACTTCCTGCTAAACTTCCAATTATTTCTCGTAAACATTTACACTACTAATGAGTAACATGTTTCAAAATCAATTTTATAATGATCACTGTTGTTTAATTTAAACGTATTATAGTAGTTCATTTACAATTGATATAATCAGTTTTAAATGACAATCTTTTGTTTCTTAGATGACTTTAACTCTAAGATATTTTTTAAGGATTTAATCACAACTATGCTAACCAAATTTGTTACAATACATTGATTTTACTGTTCACTATCCGCTAACTCCTTTTGGAAATATAATTATTGTACAAAAATTATATACAGTTGTAAACAAATTTTCAATCAAAATAATATAATTCATAATAATATATATTTCGTGTCATTATCATTTCAGAAATATAGACAGATCAAGTAGGTACTTATAGTATCAATAATAATTGTAGTTGTATGGATTTCAAGTATCACCTGAGAAATCGATCACCAAAGTATTCATCACAGATAAATTCAGATTTCGGGTTCACAATCCAAATCCATACATATAGTTAAAAAGAATAAAAGTTTTCAAATCTAAATAAGAATTTTATCATTTTCTTATTTTACAATTAAATTACAAGCGCTCGCACGCGAAACTGATTAATCCTGGGTTCGAATCTTACGGGGAGAGATCGTGGATGCACAGTGCTGAGGAGTCCTACAATAGGACGGTACGACCATCCAGTGCTTCCAAGTTTTCCATGGTAGTCTAGCTTCAATTTGCTCATATTAATTATAATCATTAACAAAAGTGATTAAAGAGACAAGATAAATTATTGATTAAATGAAATTTCTTATTTTAGTTCTTAATACATCATTGGTTTAACATTTTTTTTACTATATTTCTTAAACATGTTTATGCATGACTACTATTCATAATGATTTGATAAAAGATTACTCAAAATTAAATATGATTATAAGTAAAAGTGATTATCTGGAATAT